CAATCCTTGGGCCACAAACGAAACGTTATTAAGTGGCGCCGCAGGGCTTGGGGAAATTGCGGAAACACTCCTTGGCAATTAATGATGGCAATGGTTCGATCGGTGCCACATCGCGCATACGCACTGTTGGCGGAGCGGGGCAAATTAATTAAATGCCGGTCCGCATATGAATGCAAATGCTATAGCATCTCATTATGCGGCACTTTAAGTTCTTAACTTTTTAATAATCTCGGCGAATATATGCGAGTGGATGTGTAATCTGCTTAATGTTGTCAGAATAAAGCGGAATACAATGGACGAAAGCGGCGACGGCGGCGGCGGCAAATAAGTTAAAAAGCATTTAATGCAGCGCCAGCATTAAAAATAAATGCAAAAAATATGAAAATCCTTGGCGCAGCTGGCAGAGGCATTCATAAATTATTTGTATTTAAATGAGCCTGCCGCCGCTAGGCTGTGGGTTTGTCAACGCCCAGCTTTAATTAAATTAAATAAAATAAAGTAAAATAATATAAAGCGTCGTGCTGCAATCTCTCCATCTCGAAGAAGACTGGTAACTATCGCTGGGAATTGCAAGGAGTTTTATGGCCTCCTTGCGAGTTTTTAACTGCCGCAACGTGAGTGGGAGCCACTGGCAGCGATTATCTGAAAAATCCCAAAAAAGCAACCGAAACGAGTTGCCAAGTAATGCAAAGGGAAAACAACCCCCAGGGCCCGATACCACTGCTGCTACCTCTTTGATAAGTATAGCGCCGAGTTTTGATTTTTCGCCTTTGCATTTACATATGTTAATTAACGAGGAACAAGGAAAATAGCTCTTACGCTCCTTACGTTGGCCAGGGCAACCTCAAGGCCTCAAGATGCTGCCGAGTGGCTTACGAATATCATATTAATTAAGTGCAGATCACACTCGCTAGGTAAACACTCTGAAAATGTGGGGAAATTCCAAGTAGGGGTGGGGGAAAAGGGTCTGCGGCTTTTCACAGATAACGAAGGATGCGCTGCGGTCGAAGGTCTCGGCTCTGAGGGGTGGATCTGCGGCTTGTCGAGGATTCTTGGCATTATTTTTCACGAGCCTGTGTGTTTACTCAAAAGCAAAGCAAAGCCTAATTACATTTGCTGTAAGGTAATTTAAATAATTTTGGTTAATGGAAAATGCGACTCTCTGAGTGATTATTATTGTGACAATAATTTGATGGCTGAAAAGCCAGAAAACATTCGCAAAATAACAGCTTGTCAATCCGAGACCAAATTAAACCTCAATCTGCATCTGATTCCTTTATTGCAATAAAATTCGGCGAATAATCCATCAGTATCTGTATCTGTAGCCTGTCGTTCATATTTCCAACTGTCCATCATTTTTTAAATACTAATAATCCGAGTATGTATATATAAACAAAATATGGCGAATCAACATTAAAGTGCTGAATGCCTGGAAAGATTATTCAAAGTCCGACTCAAACTTTCCGGTCAGACAAACACAAACAATTGACAAAGTTTCAATGCTCAAGTGGTAAATAATACAATAAATAACTTTCCCCAAATGAATTAGATGCTGGCCCAGAAACAAGGCCAGCTGGAAAATTGTAACTGCTGGGATTTTCCGTATTTCCGTACTTGCCCAGCAGAGAGAGAGTGAGAGACAGACTCCTTCGAGTCCGAGTCGGCCTGTGAACTTCATAAATTTCTTATTTCGCTTTAAAGAACGACAGTTTTCCGGCCCGTTTTCACGGAATTCATTGACCGCAAAACGATATTATGGCCTCGCAGAGGGAGGAGCTAAAAAAAGAGCAAAACCTGGTCTGAGGATGCCATAAATTCCACACTTTCCTTGGGTAAAATCGAGGGAAAAACGTTGATTTGTGGCCGAGGCAATTAAATTCTGCATTCGGGGCTAATGCATCCTGTTTTCGGAAACAAGTTTCGGGCAAAGTTCTGTGATCCTGTGCGATCACAGAAGGAAATGTTTTCTTTTCTCAAGCAAATGCTAAAGTTTGGCAACTGGAAAATTGTTTACTCTGCCAGCCGACTGCCGACTGCCGAATGCCTGCCGAAAGTTTGGCCAACAAATCCGGACAGTTGAACCCAGTTTGACAATCAAATTCAGGGCGAAACTAGAAATTTGCAAGGCGCAGTGTGTTTATTTCTTTTGCTGAGCAAATTACGAGCACAAAAAGGGAGCAAAACTTCTGCCGGCTCTATTATTACATATTTGCATTGGCAAAATTGCAAATTAAATGTGCAGCAAATTGAATCCAAAGCATGTTTGTGATGCAAACACAGTCGTTACTTGGGATATCAGTTAAAAATGGCTTTGTAAATGCAATTAAGTTTATTAAGAAGCCTAGTTAAAGTCGGAATTCGGTTGCATTTTGGCTTAATTAATATTTGCTTCTCTCCGGGCTCGTCCTGGGGCTATCCTGGGCTTATCCTGCACATCGCCATGAATTTGTAACAATTCATTAAGATTCAAGCAGAGAGCGAGTCTGGGATCGTGTGTGCAACAAATATAGCCCCAGAATAAATATAAAACCCTTTCAGCGCCCCAGCTTTTGGCTATAAATAAGAACAACAATGCGACATTTTCAAGGACACTTGGCTGCCCAGCTGGTTTGTCTTTTTTCCCTACCTCCGTCCCCTACAGTTTCCTCTCCCTTTGGAGAAAATTTATACGACTTGCTAAAATTGCACATAAATTAAATTTATGTTTTATGAGCGTTGTCCTTGTCCGCTGTCTTATTCCCTGTTTTTGTGTGTGCGTTCCGCCTGGTTGTGTTTTGTTTTGGTTAAGTTTTCCCAGGCTTTTCTTGTTTTCCTCGTGTATTTTTGTGTCTCTTTTTATTTTTGGGCCTAGTTCCCTGGTTCACGTGCCGGAAAATCGCATTTATTTAATACGCACAGTAAATTTCAAGCACTTGGAACTAAATAGACGCACATTTAGTGCCGGGCCGATGGGCTTTTCCTCTACTATTTTGACCATTTCCCCCCAGTTTGAGTCTGAGACTGAACCTCCTCCACATGACATTAATAATTCACTTTGCGCAGTCAATTTGGCCAAATCGCTTCGGCTATTTTCCTCTGTCCTGCCGCGTCCTGCCATGTCCTGCCATGTCCTGCTGATGTTCATTATTTTTAAACGGCGCTGACAGTTGTAAATCTGTCAGGCTTATTAACCGTTAAATGTCACTTAACTGTCATTCGCCGGCCATAACAATTCGACAAAAGGCCAAGAGCTGAAAGCCGAAAGCGTCCAAAGCCAAACGGGCCACATGAAATGAAGTCTGACGAAAAAATATGTGCATAATTCTGCACCAAAAGTTGTACATAAATTGCCCGAATAATAGAGAGAGGTGAGGTGAGGGCATTTCCGGTGGCATTAAGTAATGAAAGCATGGTCTCTTCTCGCGACTGTAATTATTTTCCACGTCTTTATTACATTTAAATGCCAATTTATTGCCTTCGATTAAATTATGCCCCCACTCCTGCAGCTGCAGCCTGTACATAAACTTATTTATGAAAATGATTTATGCCAAGGACCCTACTGTTACTCCCCAGTCTCCTATCCTACGGCCACTTTTATGGGCTTAATAAAGGATAAAGCCAAAGACTGATCGAATAGGGAATATATGGATTGGTTCTGTGAATTAATAACCATAGAACTGTATTTTTCAGATATTTGCAATGAAACAACAAGAGAAAATCAAGTATTTATGGCACAAAACATTTAAGGAAATATTTTAGAGAGAAACTTTACTGTATAGCTTGTATTTATAAGAAACTCTGCACTCTGCAAATTCTAATTAAAATATGTTTTGTTTATGTTTCTTGCAGTGTTTTCAGCATATACAACAGAGTAACGATTCCATTGTATTCGAATAAATCAGATATCATATCCCGAGTTAATAAGCTCGATTCTTCGAAGGGATTACTTAATTAAAAGCCCAACTAATAGTCGATATGAAGAAAAAGGGGTTTTTCAACTATTTTAATATGCACTGCCGGAGGGGAATGCTAACGGAAACACGAATACATTTTCATAAATCTGGCAGAGCACTTTAATAATTTCCGTTTATCTCTTGTACTTGCAACGGCTGGGCAGCAGCTCAGCCTCAATGTTTTTCATCCGAGGTCCTTCGTCCTGCAGGCTGGCGTTTTACAAATCGCTTGACACAGCAGCAGCAGCAGCAACAGCAGCAGCAACAAGCAGCTAAAGTACAAAACTAAACAATGCAGGCTCAGCCCGGGGAATCAGAATCAGAATCAGAACCAGAGTCGGAGTAAGCGTCAGAGTCGGAGGCTACTTTGTAGCCATGCAACAAAGTCAAAAAAAAAGGGAGGAGAAAAAGCAACAGTGGAAATGGAAGGAGGCAGGCTGCGTATATAGGAATATGAAACATGGCAATAAATATTGTGCAGGCATTAAGCGCCTGGCCTTATTTTACTCGAGGTTTCGAGGTCCTGCAAGGAAGCATCGAACTGCTGGCCATCTGCGAGATGCGAGAGTGTTTGAGTGGCAGCAGGAACAGCAGCAGGACGAAGCCGAAGTGAAGCTGCTTTTCTTCGTAAAGCATTTCCACACCATTAAATTGACAATGCAATAAAATAGCCCTTGGCCAGCTGCGTTGCATACTTTCCTGGACTTTCAGCCAGCGACATTAATAACACAAACAAACATTCATCTACTTGAGGAGCGAGTGGAAGGGGATTCCCCCCTTGTGTACTCCACCAGGCCACAGCACTTTACACGCCAAATTAAGTAAACTAAATGGTTACAAATAGCTGGGCCACGCCTAAGTTTAGACTACAGATAGAGAAAAGAGGAGACAGCTTCCAGAGCAGTCAATGAATCTGAATAGAATTTAAAAGTTTTCAAAAGTATAAACCATATTTTAAGCCCTCTGATTGAAACGTTTAAAGAATGCTGTAGAAGCTGAAGTATTTGTTTGTATTTCTAAATTTCTAAATATATTTGTAATAGTTTTATGTAATTTCTTTGGACTCACCCATTTGTTGTAATTAAATCTGTAAGAAGAAAATATGAAATAAGTTAGAAAGACTATATATACATATATATAATACAACTAGCTAACTTAGATATATATTTATCAAATTAAATACTGCATTAAATCAATTAATTTCTTCTTGTGCATTATCAATGAAGCCTCCCATTTGTATTCTAAGCCAAGGCAGTATTTCAAAAAGGAGTCAGCCAACTCCCATTGCCGAAATATCTCTTAATTCTTAAGTGAATCGGAGTTGCAGCCTGGAGCTTGTAGTGCCTCCTGGCGAGGCTTGAATATTTCAGGCACACGAAACAAGCAAATCGTTTAGGGCGCTCAACTTCCGTTTGGTGAAAGGCAACGGAAGCGCCGCCACACACACAGACAGATAGCGGCCAGGACATGCAATCAGCGCTTGTGAGTGTGTGTCTGTGTGTGTGTTTGTTGCACACATAATCGCAGCTCACTGCCCATTGAGGCACTTGCAATATGTCAGGACACTGGACGAAGGACGAAGGACGACGAACTGGCTGGCCGAGATACGAGTGCGAATGGAGTTCATGCATTGACCATCCACCCATCGACCATCGACCATCGTCCACCCGTCCATCGTCCATCGACCGACATCCTTTCGACGGCTTTTGTCGGCCTCTCCCGCTGCCAACAACAACAACAACAACAATCGCCGCAGAAAAGGAGCCGAGCCTGGCAAAAGATGAAGGCAAAGCAACTTTGCATGTTCCGTTCCAGCTCCGTCCAGAGAGAGAGGTGTTGAAAGCAATTGGCGTTAGAAAAATGTATATCCTCCGACCTCACATTCCCCATCACACCGAACGAAAAATACAGCATTAAACAAGAAATTAAAATAATTCCTGGTTACTTAAGCAAGCTTTCAACAAGCACTTAAAGGTTTAACAACTTTAAAAAGTGTTTCATTGGAAAATGTTGTGTAGTTATTAAACCCTTTCAAAGTATTATAATTTCAGTCAGAAGCTTGAAACGCGGTGAAGGAGTCATTTCCGACCCCATAAATCATATATATTCTTGATCAGCATGAACAGCCGAGTCGATCTAGCCAACTACAGAGGAAAAATAAATTTTCGAATTTTTTTCCCCAATTTTATGATTTTTAAATCGGCAAAATTTGACAAAAAATTTCAACTTTTTAAATTTTAAGTATTAGTATGCAGATTTTTTTAAAAACTAGCACAGAAAAGCTTTCCAAATTGAAATTAATGCATTTTTGACTTAGTTATGAGATTTTAAAAACTTCGATTTAACCAAAAAATTAGCATATAAAAATTTAGATTTATATACCTAAATATATAAACTTTTTTTGGTTATATTTCTGTAATCTACTTTACGAAAAATTCCTCCAGTTAAAACTACCTTTTCTGGCTGCTAAAATGAACTTTATAAGAAGAAATATTGTAGTTACTGGAACTAAGTTTTATAAATATGGCTATAAAGTTAAAAAATCAAGTTTAAGTATGTATTGCAATTGGAAAAGTTCCTTCAATTATAAAGGATTTAAGAAGCTCGAATTAGAACAAAATTCAATACCCCACAAACGTTGTCTTCCGTTTCCTTTAATTTTCCCACATTTTAACCTATTTTCTCTAGTAAAATCATGCAGATTCTATCACTTTTCTCTCAGTGCACTCACATGCAGTGGGGTGGGGGGAGCATAAACGCATCGAGGCGTTGACAGCTCTGACGAGTCTGGGGGCAATGGAAAGCGAAGGGACCACCGGCGACGAGGTGCATTTGCCAGACCAAACGTGCCTAAAAATGTTGAAATTTTCCAGCTTGCAAAGCGTGAAAAGATAGTTTCGCCATCAGCACTAAAGACCCATCCGCCTCCCTTGGAAAAGCTCCCCTGATTTTCCGCATACCCAAGTCAAGTCCCCCTTGGCTCTAAGCCGAAACACTTTTACTGCCTTGTGGGTGTGGGCGTGGCCTGGTAACGCGAAAAAAGGTAATTTCTCTTTGAAGAGGACTCGGCGGAGGGGGAGAGGGGTTGGCGAAAGGACGAAAAATGAATTGCTAGAGGCTTGCTCCAAAGGAGCTCGGCCTATTCCTTCCCTAAGCATGTGTGTGTAATGATTTTCCATATACAATTTGTGGGGCTGGGATATGCAAAATAGTAGACCATAAAAGTCAAGCCGCCTCCCAGAGGTGTTAATTTAAAGCAAAAGTCAGGGAAAGGATCAAGTTGGGGGGTGGAGTGAAAAAAGGAAAAGTTTCGGGGGATTTGTTGCCTGGTTGACAGTTTGGAATGCACTGAAAGAAGAGAAGGCATTATAACTCTATAAAAATTAACATTTTACAATATTTGTAAAACACTTTAATAAGTTTAAATATATGGAAAAAGTAAACACAACCCCCTAAACTATTTATTTAATTAATTAAGCATTTATTTTAATGTTTGGTAAACATTTCTCTCGCTACTCGCCAAAAAGGACATATTTGGTAGTTGTGAACCGTGAAAAAGGATGGCTTATGCTGATATGGCAACCATATTTTCCCGCCTGCTTGTTAGTGGCCCCCTCCCTCCTCTCGAAAAACATTTTCCAGGGATTGTTAAGGCCAGCTTGATTGGACAACGGCGATGATTGGAGCCGGGGATTGATTATTTCTCAGGGCGCATTTAAGTGGCAGTCAGTCAAACAGGACTCTGTCCCGTATCCATCATCTGTATCCTCCCAGAGCCAGAGTCGGAGCCTGAGCGGAAATTGCTCCCCATACAGCATTTGCTGGCGAAAAGTTAACTATTCGCCATAATCGAAATGGCGGCAAAACATATTTCCAGGCCTCCTCCAGGCATATGCCCTCAGGTATCGTTGTCAAAAATAACAACATCATCTCAACCAACCAACTGCCAAAAAATCAAGATCAACAATGACTGGGCGGGGCAGCGCCCTCGGAGTAAATTACAAATTAAATCATAAAACGGAAGTGACAGCGTGCACAGAGCGCAGAGCACAGATTTGGATTTATTACGTGACCAGAAACATTAAACGTTTTGCCATTAACACACGCGCTTTGGGCCAGGACTCTCAGTAGCTCTCAGTAGAGCCCACAGGCAGGAGGAGAATGTAATTGGCAACAGGAATGGGATATAGTGAAGTCAGGACATGCCATGTAACCGTATCTGCAGCTGAATCTGTTTCTAAGCCAGCTGACCATGCAAACGAGCCTTGATTTCCGCCACTCTCTATGGGTTTTTATTTTAATTGTTTTGTCCTTGAATGGTGAGGGAAATTATAATATTATCATTCATTCATTCATTGAGAAACATTTCTGTAAATCGGTTATTAAGTCTGGCTTTAATATGGTGACAAGAGCTTTAAAGATTATTAGGTATAACAAGAACAACTTCTTGTTTATGTGAGAAAGCTAAAAAATCCAAGCTTCAATTATTTATTTTATATTTCTCTTCTAGTGTTTGCATTGTTAAAGAAATTTACATTTTAGATTCACTCTCCCACTTGAAAGCCAAGTTTCAATTATTGTACTTCTCAAAACCCTTTAAAAATTCCCATTTTTCATTTATAATTATTGATTAATTCAATCTCTATATTATTATTATTGATAAATTGCCGCATATATCCTTAACTCCTTTGCAAACACCTTTTGTTTATCTGCCAATTATTTTGCGAGAAAATGCTGCAGCTAATGAATTATGCATTTTGGCCATAAACACTTTTCGGTTGCCAGGTGACAGGGGCGTAGCCAATTATTTTGCGGACTTTTCTGGAGAGAGAGGGGGGGTAGATAGAGCCACTCATTATTCACTTTATGCATCAGTTAATTTCGGTAATAAAACACGTTCTCTGTCTCCGTGTGATTTGTCAGGCACAAAAGAGCATTGGCCGAGATATAAAGTAATTTCCATTTAATTGACATAATTGCGCACACTTCACATATTTAATCAATTGTCAAAGCGACACGCACACGCACACACAACTACTTAAGTGACATACACACACAACACACACACACACTCGTGCAATTGTCTGTTGCTCAGTTTGCCGTTAAGCTGACAATGACAGAAATGGCAATTTTATTGGCAGGCTCTGGCTAAATGGCCACTGGCATAGATAAATATTTGTTGGCTTGCCAAAGCGCGCTCCTCACACACACACACAGACACTGGCACTTACACACACACACACATATACATATACCAAAACACTTTCACACTGCCGCTGAGCCAAAGCTTTCACTCAAATGTCACTTATCGCCTCACCGACACCACACACACGCACACACACACACGTACGTTCGACACTCGAACTTGAACATCTGTTTACCATACATCCCAATCTGTGCGTTGGCGTGCACTGAGAAAAAATATTGTATATATTATTATAAAAAAAATTAAGTGTCATGTGTTAAGAAGCTTTTATCAAATAAAATTCGTAAACATTGTATTCACAATGCAAATTATTTTCCGCAATTCAAATTAATTTCATTTTCTTTATACTATATTATAATTAAAACTTGAAAGGAAACTTGCTTCGGGAAGCCAAAGTTTATATACCCTTCAAGTTTGCAATTGAATTTTTGGATCGATTCCGAAATCGATCGAAACCACGACAAATGAAAAATACAAAAAATCTCGTAGTTAAGCCAAAAAATCATTAATTTTAATTCGGAGAGCTCTCCCATGTTAGTTTTTAATAGCTTAATACATCTGCATACTCAATTTAAAATGTAGAAAACTTAAAAAAATTATAAATTTTTCAAAATATATATATATATATAAATAAAAACTATAAAAATGTCGAACAAATATTCCAAATTTTTTTTTCTGCCGAAGTAGTCTAGATCGACTCATATTGTTACAGGCTTCGGACTATAATTATAATACCATTCTTTGACCGAATATTCACCTATATTTTAATATGAAAATATGTTCTACAAATCAAATTTCAAAATCTCATAACTAAGCCAAAAGCGAATTAATTTTAATTCGGAAAGCACTCCTATGTTAGTTTTTAGTAGCTTAATAAATCT